AACAATAGAACTGTTTTTGGTCAAACCTTGAAAATATTGTTATGCGCAGTCTCGTGCAGTGTTGTAAGAAGTCAAGCTCAGAGTATGTGTTGTGGATGTCTCTCAGCTACTACCACTCCAAGTTATAGCTCATTATCTGTAAAACTGAAAGAGTTGGAGCCGTTTTTGTGTTTTCTGGTCTGTGGTGGGCATTTTGATTTAGGTTGGCTCCCAAAGGCAATCAGTTTTAGATGAACATCCAATTATTGTTATCATTTTATTTTTTTAATTGAAAGTTTCATTTATCTTTGTCTAGTGGTTAATAGTTACAAAGATCTCCCAAAATCTATTGGCGCAGATTGGTTCATGAGATATTTTGTACATACAGACAAAAGCATCATGCCTGCCTTTCACCTTGCAGCGAACAATAAAAATGTTTTCACTCCACATTTGGTGACTCACACAACAGATATGAACACTTCCTGTGGCTTTGACATGTGTAGTGTTGCATGGGCAAATTTTGACAACTTAAAGACATGCTGGGCAGTGGTGTAGTCTACATGTTTGTAGTGGGTATACTGTGGTTAGAAACCAAAGTACACCAGTTAGTACAATGTAATCATCAATTTATTTTTGATTTTTAAGCAAATTGAACATTTCAAAATTTCTCTGATGATTATATTTGAATAAATGTACAACAAACTTTGTACAACAATTGGCTTTGTATTAAAAACATGTTATAGATTTTATAAAACAGTATCAAAGCAAAGCATGTTCAAATATTAAGTCGTAAGTACAGAAGTATTAATTATATAAAATTAAAAAAACAGGTTTAGCCAACTCATTGTGTCTATAAAATGTTCCAGATGTGTTGACAATGACACATGCCCAATGATATATTATGTGTCATTTGGGCACTTTTAAGTGGGTATACTGAAATCCCCAATCTTTTCTAATGGGTATACTCCGTATACCCGTGTACCACATAGACTACACCACTGATGCTGGGACACATCTGGATGCCTATGAAGCGCAGACTATGGATATTTTCAGAACTAATTTAAATCCTTGTTGAGTTCTCTGAATCAATGTTATTAATAACACCAAGCTGTGAGACAAGTTCAACATCAAGACATTGATGACCAAATGTTACATGTCAGCATAATAATATGTAAGTAAATATCAAATAAACCCAAAATCTTCTACTGACATTAGATTTTAGACCAAACAAAACCAAAGAGCAAATTGGATTTGGTTATTTTCAGGAGAATGGAAGATTAAAACGTCCCTTAGAAGAGTGCGTTGCAGTTTGATGTATTATGTACCTCTGCAAAGTTGCAAAGAGGCAACCGGCATAATTATATTTGAAATAATATTATTTTGCAAGACTGAAGATGTAGCTTTTTTATTTATTTAGATACATGGTTTAATATATTGCTTAAGATTTAAGGGGTACAAAATGTTTTCAATATTTCCATAAAAGCTTCTGAAAACACATTCACCTCTCCATTCTATTGACCATCTCTACTCACTGGTCTTCAACCCAGCTGAGACCTGATTTTAGTTCATTTTTATTTATATTGATTTTATCTGTTTAACTCATCATTTTATTGTTTTAAATTGAGTTTTTAATTTATTATTGTGTACTTAGCTTTGTAACTTTATTTTATGCTTTCTTTTATCTTATTTATTACTGATGTTCAGCCCTTAGTTTCATAAATAAAGTTGATGATGATGATTAATGAAACATGAATACTGTACAAAGAAACACTGCAGCAATTATTTTGTGTGATCACAAGTTTTACATCATTGTCATCTGATAATAACATATGTAGTGTTTGTTTTATACTTGCTAAAGTTCAAATGAAGAAGCATTTTATGATAGCTGGAATAGTCAATTTTGTGACATTAGGGCAAACCAATTTAGCATTTAATAGCATCTTCAACTCAGACACTCAGAATTCAGTTCTTCCCAGTCAAAACGATTTCATTTTTACTGTCAAAAATAGCATTTCTCTTTTTCACAACAAAATTTCAGTTCTTAAAATTAAAGAACAGTTAATTCAAGTTTTCCCCTCTTCAACAAGCAACAGTGTAATTAAAATGTTAAAACTCAGCTGTGACTGAATGGTTACAATAGAATAGAAACAGCCTTTATTGTGCCACGGATGGGAAATTCCAGTGTATCAGCAGCAACAGATAAAAAGATAAAAAGATTTCACACAAAAGTTCCTAAAATGTCAAAAACAATATATAATGAAATAAGATAAAAAATATCAATAATAATGTTCAATATGTATTGAAATATTGAGAATGACAGACTATTTACAGTACAGTATTATAGACAGAGTGTGTGTTTTAGCAGAGGTCAGCATGTGTTTAATCCTTATAGAGTTTGTTGGGAGCAGTGATGGTTGTAGAGTCTAACAGCTGCTGGGAGGAAGGACCTGCGGTAACGCTCCTTTGTGCATTTAGGAGCAGTAATCTGTCAATGAACGAGCTCTCCAGTTCAGCAACAGCTTCATGCATGGGGTGGGAGACGTTGTCCAGCAATGATGTTATTTTAGCTCGAGTCCTTCTGTCTCCCACCACCTGCACTGGGTCGAGGGGGCGTCCAAGCACAGAGCTGGCCTTCTTGATGAGCTTATCTAGCTGCTTATTCTCAGCTGATGATAAGCTGCTGCTCCAACACACAACACCACAGAAGATGGCTGATGCTACTACCGAGTCAAAGAAGGTCTTCAGGAGCACCCCTGCACTCCAAAAGACCTCAGTCTCCTCAGCAGGTAGAGTCTGCGCTGACCCTTCCTGTAAAGTGCATCAGTGTTGTGAGCCCAGTCCAGTTTATTGTTCAGGTGAACACCCAGGTACTTGTAAGAGTCCACAATCTCGATGTCCACTCCCTGGATGTTCACTGGGGTCAGTGAGGTGAATCTGTGCCTGTGGAAATCCACCACCAGCTCCTTAGTTTTATCAGCGTTGATCAGGAGGTGGTTCTGCTGGCACCAGTCCACAGTCTTGAGTCCGCTGTCTCTACTCTGAGTCGTCCTCACCTGTGATGAAGCCGACTATGTCAGAGTCATCAGAGAACTTTTGCAGATGGCAGTGTGGGGAGTTGATGGTGAAGTCTGCAGTGTAGAGGGTGATAAGGAACGGTGCCAGCACAGTTCCCTGTGGGACCCCCGTACTGCAGACCAGCCTGTCAGAGACACAGCCCTGTGTCCTCACATACTGTGGGCGTCCAGTGAGATAATCCAGTATCCACTGGGACATGTGGTGATCCACTCCTGATAACTCCAGCTTGTCCCGCAGAAGTCCTGGCTGGATGGTGTTGAAAGCACTGGAGAAATCAAAGAACATGATCCTCACGGTGCTTCCAGGTTTCTCCAGGTGGGTCAGAGCTTGGTGCCTGAGGTAGATGATGGCGTCATCCACCCCGATGCCAGGCTGATAGGCAAACTGCAATGGATCTAATGAAGACCTCACCAGGTGGCACAAATTGTTGAGGACCAGCCTCTCGAGGATCTTCATCAAATGTGAGGTCAGAGCCATCGGCCAGTAGTTACTGAGGTCCTTGGGATGTTTGGATTTTGGTACCGGTACCACACAGGAGGTCTTCCACAGTTGTGGTACTTTCCCCAGCTTCAGGCTCAGATTGAACATAAATCCCATGATGCCACACAGTTGATCTGAGCAGCACCTCAGGAGCCTGGAGCTAATTCTATCTGGACCTGCAGCTTTACGCACCTTGATCTTTCGCAGCTCATTCCTCACCTGAAGAGTTGATAGGGACAAGATGGAGGTGGGGGAAGAGGGCTGTGAAATGAAGTCTTCTGGAATGAAGGGGGAGGCTAATGGCTGAGAGCTGAGAGGTGTGATTTCCTGAGAAGAGAAGGTTAAAGCAGTCCTCATCCAATGGGAGAGTTGGGGGCAGCAGTCCATCATGCTGAAGTGTCCCTGGGCAAGACAACCCCTCATTGCCTCTGATGTGTGTCCCACTGTGTAGCACTGATAATTCAGATAGAGATCTAGTTAAAAAA